TGGACTAGATGACCCACAGAGGTCCCTTCCAACCCCTACTATTCTGTGATTCTGTGGCTTACAGAAAGAGTGCAAATGAGCACAGGGTGCTCTTTTACTTCTGGCCGTTCTATGAATCCCTTGCCCTATTTACCTGCTTCAGTATATACAATCCAGCTGGACAGACCAGTGTTGCAAACACAGGAACTCCGATTTCACACCATGTGAGCTATTCTGGAGAGGCTCCATCACTAAGTCCCCCCGCTCTGCCCCATCCACCCAAACCTGGACAGAGAGCGGAAGGTCCATGTTAACCAAACAGCTGTATGCCTAAGAGCTGTTAAGGTCCTTGAGTAGAGTTCATTCCAGCAGACAAGGACGTCCTTGTCACAATCTACAACTTTCTCTTATCTCTCCCTTACCAGGGTAAGGGATAACTTCAAGATACTGTAGTAATGAAAACCAAGAGTGTAACTGAGTCATGGTACATACCAGGACAGCCTACTCTGCTGGGTTTTTCTTAAGATACTTCACCAAGAGTTAAACCACATGACGCAAAGCAAATACAACAATTACAACACTTTCACTCAAATGTAAATACATAACAATTCACTATCTAGCACAAGAATCTTTCCAATAAAAATGCAGACAGCCAACTTCTTCCTCCTGTCTTTTCTGAATGCAAGTCTTTGGGCCAGCCTTCTTTGATAAGCATTTACAAAAGCTATCTATAACCTAATTTACAAAAGAAAGCTAGTAGACACTTCCACATACTATCACGAGACTTAATAACATACTGTAAACTCACTTAAAAACTAAAATATAAATTAATATCAGACAATTAACCTTACAGCATGAGCTTAAAACAGAGGGAAGTTATAAATTTGCAATGCTTTGTTGGTTTCTTCACCAATATAGGAAGCAAATAAATCACTACTTTAGCAGTCATTGTTGCTTTTACGTCAGAAGTACAATTTAAAAAAGATCGTCCATGTAGATTCATGTAAGTTAAAAACATGATCATGAATCCTAACACTGTGCAAAATGAACACATTACCCAGGCGACCATGAAAAGCAATGTACCAAATGAAAAGGAACAGAGAGGAAATCAAACCAGTGAAAGTTTTCACATTTTAAAAGAGAAGACAGAGCTGCACGGGAAGAAACAGTATGGGAAGTCTGTAGGGTTTGATGGTGAACAATAAGCAGTTGAGTTTCTGGAGAACTGAGAAAGGGTGGGAACTGGTTTGATAATGGGGCAATTGAAACATTAAATGCAGTGAAAGAACTATATTCATATTGCACCTGAACAGCTTTTATGTATTTGAAGGAAGATGATTTTTTTGTCCCAGCTTACTCTGGCATGACATAATTTACTGCTACATATTGAGAACAACATCTGTAACATTGTGTCATGCAAATGAAAATATTTTAATGGATTAACTAAATGATAAGCAATAAAATAGTTTAAATACCAACTGTTTTAAATATTGTACTTTAGAACTGTAAGATGAAGGGAGCAACCCGTACCTCAGACTGCTACCTTTGAGGCCGCTCCTCTCTGAACATTTACCAGCTAACTCAATGTAAAAGGTATCAAGCCAGATCTTGGTGGAAGCCTCTGGTCCACTACTGTTTTACAGGGGCTCTTGTCATAGGAAGAAATTAATATCAAAACCAGAGACTTCTTTTTGCAAGGCTAAATCAATTGTTTAAACAGATTTGTAAGCACAATTACAGTACGTATCAAAATAAAATAAAAAAAGCATACAAAATCTTAGCAATAATGGTAAAGCTATTGTTTTGCAAGATGCCAAGAGCTATTTTTAAAACAGGTTGGCTTATAGGTCTATGCACAGACACATGAAACACCACAAACTGAAAGGGACTGTGTTAAGTAAGACTTTGTAAACATTCCCACTGCTCACTAGATACTGACAGAGCTGATGCTATCTTGTACTGCCATCTGCAGCCAAAGCACAGGCCTGCCGTTCCTGGGAGAGGGCAAAACCCCTCACAATTCAAGCCTTGTCACCTGAACGCTGACGTACACCACAACTATGGTACAGACATTGGTTGTTTCTTTTAAAGGGCACTATCAACCACCACATTTCAGTTCATCTTTCCACACTGGATAGACTGGAACTAACATTCTTCCAGGCACAAGAAACCTGTCATTTATTTCCAGGATACCTAGAACCAGCAGCTGCTACACATAAAACAGAGCAACTAATTTCTGACACAGAAACACAGCTTGTCTGCTGAAATCAATATGGAGATTCATACACTAGGATTTTCAAAATACAAATAAAGTCACTTCATAAAATTCTACAAGCTACATTTCAGTAATACCTCACTTAAAGGAAGAGCTAAGTAAGAGATATCCTCGAGACAAACTCCGTGTGTGGCTCAGTGCAATTTCTACATTAACAAGAACAAATCTTCCCATGTAGGAAGCACACCTGGGTAATACTGACTGACATCTGAAGACATAAGGCTATCTTTACTGTCAGCTCCACACTTTTTAAAATGCATACACACACGTCTAGGGCAGAGGTCTGCATCTTTTACATGGCCTTACAAGAAAACCCGACACATTTCTGACATAGATCAAAAAATTCTTTCATTCAAGCTTGTTCATGGTCCTCCTCTCCCTTTTTTGTCATGGTGCAGTTTTAAAAGTTTTTTTTCCAGGCTTGTTTTTCTGGGTTTACTCCTAACAAAAGGTAGGGTAGTCCTTAGTCCTAAATCCTCCCATATCAACACGTTCTTGTCAAACTGATTGAATATAACAGTCATGGTTCAGAAATATATCAAAAAATACAGCGACAGGGATATATGAATGCATTGGCACCTTAAGCTGAATAACTTAGTTTAGTTAGGGTAATTGTAAAATGCTTCCTGCACTTATCTCCATGCAAAGTGAACCTTTCAGATGCTGTGAGATACCCAAAACCACTTCTCATCACATCTGCTGATATGCTAAACTAAACCAAATAATATTACTCTAAACCAATTAATCAGCTTCTTGATGAATGTAAGAATACAAGATCCACCCTCCAAGTTACTTTTTTTGTTTTGTGACTGAGACCTGTCAGTATTCTGGAAAATTGCCTGCATAGAAAGAAAACGACAACACTAAAGCCCCTCCTCACCACTACCACCCCCACACTCCCCCCAGCTGCTACATAAACATACGCTCCTATTTCTGTCATTCGCTCCATTAACTTCCCAAAATTCATCACGGGTCAAACAACAACAGAAGGCTATCGTTTCTGAGAACATATGTGCTCTTTCTGCTGTTTCACATCTTCTACACTCCTGCCAAAAGTTTCTAACAAGCGTAAAATTAAGTCTTTGTATTCCTAGAAACAAAAAGCCATGCCTCCACTTAATCATTTTTATACACCAGCTAAGCCAAAACAAGCAACTTGTATTCACTAGAATATATGTCAGTTATGATCTCTCCTCGTTTTTCTCTTCCCTTTCCTGTGTAGCCTTCTGAGACCCTCTCCTCTCTTCCTAATATACAGGAAGTATTAAACATATTCATCTGCAATGCAAATTTAAGTACAAAGGGTGACAAATCAAAGGACTCTGAAGGAGAAGTGGTTTTCACAAGTTACTCTCAGAATAACTGCTTGTTCTTGAACCAGGTAATCTGTTGTGACTGGGAGGTGATGTGTGACTTTCAGAATTCAGCTGGATTCCTGGCCCCTAGGGCTCATCAGGCACAGATGAATTCAGCTCGAGGAGGAGCACGCAGGTGATAAGCAGAATCTTACTTGCCATCCTCCCTTCTCCAGATGCCAGTGTATAATTGTACACGCAGCCCCATTTGATCAAACCTACAGCAATAACATCAACAATAACTAAAGAATATAGCATCTGGATAGTCTGCTAATATAAGTACATTCTGTCCAGCTTTGTCAAGATACAACAACACGGAATGAAAATAACACCCATAGACTTCGGAAGGTCTCTCTTGTATCAGCCCAGGAAACTTCAAGTAAAGTAATTTCAAAATTCAGTTAACAGCTGATAGACAGTCCCAAGCAGTACCACTTGATACCCAAAAGACTTTGAAAATGTCAACTCGAGTAATCCTTATATATTGCAATCTGGTGTTTCCTTTTAGAAGCATAAACCAACGCAATGAGAGAAAAAGAACATCCTTTTCAAAAAAGCATTTCTCCTCAGCCTCCTTTTGTCATCAGAGTTAACCAAACAATCACCCCATTCTGTTCATATCCTACCTACACCTCCCCCTTAGATTCTGGGGAATAATCTACTCAGTCTCTTCTAGAATTTTACTGGTTTTGGTATTGGGAGAGAAAGTAAAATCTACGTATCTCAGAATAATTGCTGTTGGGTGCATCTTACAACTTTCCTTTTCCCTTCAGTACACATTACAGTCACTTCCCGTATGAAAAAAACCACTATTGAATACAGTAGCAAAAGGAAATCCTTACAACAGTTTTACCCAATCAAAAAAAACTAATAGATCATCCTGTTCCTAAGACATAATTCTAACAAGATTTAGAACACAATAGAAAATACATAATTTACAACTTAACTTGGACTTACCCGTGGACTGGCTATGCACAGGAAGGATGGCAGCTCAGTCACCTGGCAGCACCGTACACATGAGGTAGCTGATCTCCTTCGATGTATGACATGATCTGAATAGCCAGTAACTGCTTTACAGTGGCTACTGAACACGAGGTTCTGAAAAAAAAAAAAATTTAAATTAGGAAGTTACTATGTCTACAAAGAGAAACTCCTCTTAAATCTTGTAATCACCCATGAGAAAGACAAAGGACATTCACCACACATTTCTCTTCGAAAAAGGAAACTCTACACATCTTCTGCAGTGACAATGTACAGGAACTTTGTGTAATTATCAGAACATTCAAATCCTGAAACGGCTGAAACCAGAATAGCTCGTATCAATATTTGCCTTTACACTCAGCTGGAACCAGAAACAAGTTTCTCCTTCTTTGAACCTTCTGACCTTAGCTTTTCTAAAGCAGGAAGTACAGGAATATTCTAGCAGGTCTGACCATCAAGCTATTTTCTAGTTACTGCTTTAACTGTTCTAAAGCATTGGTAAAATGAAATTTAGCAGAGAAAAAAATTAAGACTCTAAATGAGACTAGACTGGTATCTTTGGACTTCTCTCTTTTCCAACCTTTTCTTTGGCTCTGAATTTTATCCTGAAAACTTTCAAGGTGCTAGCACAATCATTCACGCACATGAACACACCCACGTGTAAAACCTGGAATTTGCCACAAGTGTTATCAATGTCCATTTGGTCCAGAAAAATATATTGACTCAAAAGTGAGGGCAGGAGATAACACTGCCGTTTAAAGAAAGGAAAGTTCTTTGAAGATGCTCAACTTTATGCAGAAACATAACAGAAAACTAAATTTTATTCACTTGCATGAGTTACTATATTTCCTTTTTTATTGTAAATACCTGCATCAAATGATGAAATAAACTGCTTATAGGCTAATTTTTGCTATTGAGTTTTTATTCTGACTTTCCTATATTCACAGCAACCAACTGCTACATATTATTACATATAATTGTTTCCTATAGTATGCAGGGCATTCTTCTGCATACTATAGGAAACAAGCAACAAAAAGAAGAAACATTAAGAAATACACCTCTCACTGCCACAGGATCATAGTATGTGCCCTCCTGACAATTCTTGCATTTCACTGAAGTAAAAGGTAAACAGCGTCTAAAGCTTTGGCATTGTTCTGCCCCTGTTCCTAATGCACCAAAATGAACTGCATACTGCTTTCTATTTTACATAGCCCCCAAATTTTCTGCAGTCCTGGTGTTTGAAGTTCTAAGCGTCAGGTTACATGACAGAAGCAGACACCTTGTATATCACATCATACACTGGATATATGCATTCCTACATATGTGAAAAAAATGCTAGAAAACACCCACAGCAGTAGTCTTGTACGGATCATGCATTCTGGGCCCTTTCTATTTCCAGGTGTAGACATACTGGGCAAGATGCAGATGGCTAGTACATAATTTGGAACCTGCTGACAAGGGAGAAAAACGGTCTTACTGTGCACATGTGCTAGCACCACCTAAGCAATACAATCAGCAAATCCTAGCATGTGAATCTTTCTACTGGTGTGACTTGCGGTCTGGAGCTGGCAAAAAGAAAGTTCATACTCTCTGTCTGAACATCTGCTCCGCTACGTAAAAGGTGAGAGCAGAAAGAGCTGACGACAGTCTTTCACTGACACTCAGCTGGACTAAAAAAGCACAGGTCAAAGCCTGGGCCACACTGGATAATGTGAAGTGATCCCAAAGCCAGGCTCTTACTCAGCTGGCAAATCTTTATCAGTAATGCTAGCTTAAGCAACAATTGTTTCACAGGTTCACTCCTGTCCCTGCAGAGTCCGTTCTTGTCGGCCTAGCTGTCTGTACTCATTAAGATGCTAATCAAGATGAAAACAAACCCTCCACTCCAAGTTAGTTTTGTGATCTGTTTCACCCCCTGGTAAAACAGGCCGTGTGCTGAAACAGCAGAGTGGGCAACACAAGGCTGGGAGCACACGGCTGTGGAGAATGGATGCAAATGCTGGTTTACTCATCCGAGGACCAGAAATGGTGGCAACAAAGAACCAGCGCTGCTGCCGAAAAGGGGGGGGCCCTTCCCACGACACAGCTGTGCCACTTCTTGTGCTAGGTTTGTTAGCTGTCACACCCCTCCAGAAGCGTATTTAGCTACGCATCTAACCAGAGGACAAATTCAACGGATATGAAAATCGAAGGTTTTCTCTGGTCAACTCATGCAGGGATGTGACAGTGCAGATGCGACACGAGCAGAGGCAGGATTTAGTGGCTGGGAGTAACGAACTGGGAACTAGAGGCCTGTCAGCCTGACCTCGGTGCTGGGCAAGATTATGGAGCGATTCATCCTGAGTGCGCTTACCGGGCACGTAAAGGACAACCAGGGCATCAGGCCCAGCCAGCATGGGTTCATGAAAGGCAGGTCCTGCCTCACCAACCTGATCTCCTTCTATGACCAGGTGATCCGCCTAGTGGATGAGGGAAAGGCTGTGGATGTTGTCTACCTGGACTTTAGTAATGCCTTTGACACTGTTCACCACAGCATCCTCCTGAGAAACTGGCTGCCCATGGTTTGGATGGGTGTACTCTTCGCTGGATAAAGAGCCGTCTGAATGGCTGAGCCCAGAGAGCTGTGGTGAACAGAGTTAAATCCAGCTGACGGCCAGTCACAAGTGGGTTCCCCAGGGCTCAGTTTTGGGTCTGGTCTTCTTTAACATCTTTATCAATGATCTGGATGAGGGGATCAAGTGCTCCCTCAGTAAGTCTGTGGATGACACCAAGCTGGGTGGAAGTGTTGATCTGCTTGAGGGTAGGAAGGCCGTGCAGAGGGATCTGGACAGGCTGGATCAATGGGCGAAGGCCAGCTGAATGAGGTTCAACAAGGCCAAATGCCGGGCCCTGCACTTCAGTCACAACAACCGCATGCAACACTACAAGCTTGGGGAGGAGCGGCTGGAAAGCTGCCCGGCGGAAAAGGATCTTGGGGTGTTGGTCGACAGCTAGCTGAACATGAGCCAGCAGTGTGCCCAGGTGGCCAAGAAGGCCAACGGCATCCTGGCTTGTATCAGGAATAGTGTGGCCAGCAGGAGTAGGGAGGGGATTGTACCCCTGTACTTGGCACTGGTGAGGCCACACCTCGACTACTGTGTTCAGTTTTGGGGCCCTCACTACAAGAAGAACATGGAGGTGCTGGAGTGTGTCCAGAGAAGAGCAACGAGGCTGGTGAGCGGTCTAGAGAACAAACCTTACAACAAGCGGCTGAGGGAGCCGTGGCTGTTCAGTCCGGAGAAGACGAGGCTGAGAGGGGACCTTATTGCTCTCTACAACTACCTGAAAGGAGGCTGTAGTGAGGCAGGTGTTGGTTTCTTCTCCCAACTAAGGATAGGACGAGAGTCAATGGCCTCAAGTTGCATCAGGGGAGGGTTAGGTTAGATATTAGGAAAAAATTCTTTACTGCAAGAGTGGTCAGACATCGGATTAGGCTGCCTAGGGAGGTGGTTGAGTCACCATCCCTGGAGATGTTAAAAAAAACTTGCAGATGTGGCACTTCGGGATATGGCTTAGTAGGCATGGTGGTGTTGGGTGGATGGTTGGACTTGATAATCTTCGAGGTTTTTTCCAAACTATGATTCTACGATTCTATGAAAGGACAGCAGGGGTCTGAGGAGAAGAGTGACTTCTCTCAACAACTGCAGGCTACTAGTTGGACTCAGAACAACTGCTTTAGCTCAGAGCCCCTGTCTTCCCCACTCCTGGCCCAGACACTGAGTACGGCTGATTTTACCACATTGGATCAGCACTGCATGCAGTCACAAGAGGTTTCCAGTAAGTCTTAGGACAGCAAGCACTGGCATGCTGATTGTGGCCTGGTTGTCAGAGAGGTTCGTTAACTTTATTTCCTGGAAAGTGAGAGTACAAGAAATGGATAGAGAGGAAGCTAACAAACTGTAATTCCAAACCTATGCAAGGTTTGTTACTTAATTATCTTTTGGAAGCCAATATTGAAGAGCCATCAAAGATGGCATTAGCCCAATTAGAAGTACCCAGGAAGAAACATAAAGGAAAACTCCCAAGAAGGTACCCAAAATGAGAGAAAGACATTATTTTTGTATGCACACAGTATTAGAAGTAGGTTTGTACACAGGCATTAATCCAGTTTTCAGCACCATGGTCCTGTGTACAAATAACGAGCAGGTCACATAAGAAACATCCCTCTCTGAATTCCCTGACATACACAGCCATTAAGTATTCATGAACAGAGCAGACACCAGATACAACAGCGACAGCGGAAACCAACTTCCCATCAGTCACATACATGGAAAAGACCAGGTAAGGTTACAGAACTGAACACAGCCACAGCTCTGAAACTATTACCTTAGTACAACTAAGCCAAGAACTGAAGAGAAGGATCGTTAAAAAATAAGAATGTACACATCTACTGCAACCGTGCAATCCAATGTGAGTGTTGAAAGAAGCTTTCCTATATTGCAAACAGAGCTGTACATAAATATGGGAGATTGCTACCAGTATATTAAGGTCATTAACACTCCTAATTTTTTACAGAAAGACAATCAGCAAAGCAAAGGAGAGACGGGTTCATCTCAACAGATCAGATTTTATATTAATATAAATCACATTAATACACATGTTGTGGAGGTGCTGAGTAAGGGAAGTGAGACCACACACCACAAGGGATTTCTGTGTTTACATGAAGAAACTCATACTATCTTTAGACAGATGTTACCTCAATTTCAGAAAGGTCCTTTAAAAATAAATGTGTTTTTTTGTCTACTGACTTATTTTCATAGTTTGTCTCTTACATCGGAAATGCTGATCTGAGCAGTTAAGAAAAGCCTTTCCAGATTTATACCATTTCCTTTTTCCTCCGTTTCTCCCCCTCCTCACTCCCTACATGTTACTGTCTTATGAAGCCCTAGAGGAAGCCTCCGGGAATTTTACACTGAGTTTCTCAAATTTGGGCTAAGATAAAAAAAGTGAGTTCATTTTCACTCACGACAAGGCATGCTGCTAAAAGACAGGCATGTAAAGGGCAGTTTGTTTTTCAACTCTCTTTTGGGTTTTGCACCTTTTTTGTTTCACGACATGCTATACATAAGCTATGCAAACAAAATTCTGCAACATAGCTAATCTTAAAGTGACTTCATGTGGTAATTTGTCTAACATGCAGGTTAGAAAATAGTTCTAAGAATCTGTCATAACTGCAGGGCTAAACTTCCTTTAGATTTACTGGACTTATCAACAATGCGCTGTGTCACAGACTCATGAACTCTGCTCCTCAGCTGGCTGTTTTCTGTGTAAAAGGTACTAGTTACACCAGTCATTAGTTACAGACAGTCCCAGCACTGGGGCCCCATGAGACACAAGTAATGACTTCCTCAAAGATCAGAAATTATTTGAAGAAACCAAATTATATGTTTAAGTCTTGCCAGGTTGTGCTACAGGTGGGTCTGCAGCCTATCCAAATGCTTTACATTTCATTGTTAATATTAAAACCTACATGTGCGTATTCCACATATCATATTTAATATTTACAATGTCAACTCACCTTCTGTTCTTTCAGAAAGCACAACTACATTCATTTTAATATTTATACACACTAACCCAGAAGCCATGTGAAGATCTAGATTGTCTTTCTACATATGTAAAAATGAATGCTACATTCTGTAAGTGCATACAACTTCTACTCCTTCACTGTTAGGCCACAACACGACATCACACAAGTTTTCCTTAACTATACCAATGAGAGGACAGAGCTACAGTATAGTTTCAGAGATAAGCATTACACACTCAGTATATAAATGGCTGAATGCAATCCCAGGAAAACTAACTGAAAGAAATTCCATATAGCACAGACATTCTAGCAAGCTATACATGGAAACACAGAATATTTAAACACCAGCACAGCTAGAGTTAACTGGCATACACACTCAGTTGGCTTGCTCTTTGTTTGATAACTAGGAGGACTCATTTTGTTGGCTTTGCTGTTAACGCTGCAAAACATGACACCAAGCCCAAGCCCGGTTTCCTACTGCTTATGCGTCTTCAATTTCAACTTCCTCTACACGCTATTCAATTCAATTCTGGCTATCTCCTTTCCCCTTCCATGCTCATGAGCAGAAGCAATATTCCCTAGAGAAATCTGGCACGATCTCACTGTTTCAGAAAAGATTTTTGTACTGCGTATCTGTTAACTGCCCTAGGATGCTTTCCTGACTCTATGCTAGCACTTTTGCGAACCTACTTCCCTGTGAAACGAATCAATGGAGCTACAAGCTAACTCAGGAAATCAACTGCAATTCAGTCATAAAAAGAAAAAACCTTCACACACATCCCAGGCAAAAGATTAGAGAAAAGGATCTTGCATTACACAGTAAGATAAGACATTTAGAGTCTACCAGACAGCAGCAGAAGCAAATTTCAGAGTAGAAAGACACAATTGATAATGCTTGTCCACCAACTCTGAAACACTGCTAGGCTGAAGTCTCTGCTCTCTCCAGCTGCTGCCACAATGTATTGAATTTGAGACGAAAAGAGTTGGTATCAGTCAGAAAACAAGCATCTTACATGTAGAAAAACATCACAAAACTCAAACTTACACACAGAATCCATCCCTGACAAATCATGAGTTTAGTTCTGTTGCTCCAGTAATATTTTTAAGACTTCCAATTCAACAGATTTCTGTCTATAGCAAGTTTTTAAATGTATCACCACATATGAAGAAGATAGCAGCGAAACTGTTTTTCTGTTCAGCACTCTGAACTTTACTAACTGTATCTAATGAACTCATGCTGTTTCCAAGTTTGTTTTCCTCTGTTTTATGAGGACAGAAAGGTTTTCATCACCTCTCACTCATGAGGATTTGCTACTGTCTCCACATTACAAATCCCTGTTCCTCAGACAATGTGATCCCTGCTGTTTCTCCCCTTCGGTCTCCATCCAGGAGCGCATGTGATGGAGCCTGTAGGATGCTTTCAGTGACAGGAAAAGAGCTAACCATCTGAAACAAAACACAGTAGATACATTTCTTCACTGCTTGTGAAAGAAAGGCTTGAGTATGTTTACAATGTAACTCTCTGACACAGATGCTTTTTCATAATTTCAAGCTTACTGTATTCTAACTTACAGGAAATAATTTTTGCTAGACATCTTCCAATTATATTACTCTTATTTTCATCTTTTCTAAGGTGGCTTAACTGAATCTAAATGATTAAATCAGAACACACTTGGAAGCACTTCATTTAAAAGGGTCAAGCCCAAGTTAGCCACTACTACTTAAAACTGCGCTGACTTCTCTGTAAACTTCTCCATATATAAATTATACATAACAACCTGCATAACGAATGCAGAATTTATCATAAAGATCATTCAGATAGATCAAGAGAAATTTGTGTTATGTTACTGAAACATAGACAAGAAACAGTAGTCCAAAATAACCACAGCAATAAAAGAGTATTACACTTACAAAGCCCTAAGCAAAACACCTTTATTTATTAATGAAGACTTGATTTTAATCTCAGTTTCTTACAGTCACTGTCTAATTTAAGAGTACTGTCTATTGCAGAGTACACTATAACAGATCACCTCCCTTTAATACAGTTCACGGTGCTAAAAAATCCATTATCCTAAGCCTACGCCTCGGAATTCCATTCCACATTAAAAACAGGACACATGGAAAGCAGACAATATGGCTGGGAGCTGAAGAACAAATATCAACAGCACAAGCTTATTCTAGGTGTGTTAAAACACATGCTCAAGTGCAATTGATAAGCACTGCAATACACCGGCCTTCAAAAGTCTGGATTTTGCGCTTGATAATGCCAGTAACCTACTATGTGATCCTAGGTAAACTCTTCTGTTGCCCTTCGACCATTTAGCATATTCACAATGTCAAATCTTTGTAACACAGGTTTTCTTTTGACAGAGGCATAAAATTGCCTTGCATAACGGTGCCTTACACTTGGAGGAACACTCGAGAAGTTGCTATAATACTAGATAACGACAGACAAACGATAACATTAGGAGGCACAGAAAATGCAGGTTTACAGAGTTGCCTCTAGCATCACCTGTACTTTTCCTATAATTACGAAAAGAGAAACAAAAAAAAGCTGTCCTCACCTGGCTAAATGTCCCTGATTCATAAGGTTTGCCATTTCCGCTGGAGAGACATCAATAAACCGGAGGAAAGAAAAACAGCTTTCTTCATTGATGCCTATGTCATAGAAACACTGAAGTCAGGCCAACACATTTCACAGACACTCTTAGCTGAAAACCATAAATTAACTTCATCAAGATATACATTCTCTGACATATGACAAATCTAGGTGAATAAACAGGAGATCCTAATTTAACCCAGATCTTTGAGAAATACTGAAAATTTAATCTGAATGGCTGCTGCCTGACTCCAAGTCACAGTTCATTTTGCAGTCTGGGCAAGAGAAGGGCATTTACCAAGCAACACAAATACGCTCTAGGCCAGAAAACCATGCACCCAGTAAGGATGTTGATTTCGTCTACTAAGAATCAACAGGCAGCGCGCGCACGTTTGCGACTCCAAAGACATATCTGCCAGACAGCTGACCAGGACACGCATACCTCAGGATGCCTGCCAAACATGCTCCCTCACCCAGCCAGCCAAATGGGTTGGAAGGAGGTGTAAGAATTGGCAGGGGAATGTGAGTATGGGCATAAGGATGCAACAGATATGGCGAGGATGTTGGATACACTGCACTGAAGGATGGGGAGCAGAAGAGGTACGTTCCACTGTTAATGAAGAAAGCCTTTCAGGCACACCCATGTGCACTGTGTATCCCCAATACCATTCATATCTTTTTAACTTTTACACAAAAATTACATCGCCAAAATTATTGTCCTTTCATGGTATGCCAAAAAGGGTACTGCAACTGGTTCTTCTTACTTTAAAAGGGTTTTACACAGCTGAACAGGACCCCCCCCCCAGTTTTTCCCACCCCAGCAGCTGAGCAATCTAGTTAGCTCTTTTTAGCAAAAAAAAAATCAAATCATCTATAATAATAAACTGTATTTGTCAATATAAGCAGCTTATGTGGGCTTCTTGCTCATAGATTAGATCCTGAGTCACTTGTATCTCATCTACTTTTTACTTGAAAGAGAAGCTGGCAGTTTAACATACAGTACAGAATATACTGAAATTAATCCAAGATCTTCCTGAATTGAATCTGTGAAAAAATCACATTAGACTAAAAAGCCAGCATTAAACCCTTGAAGTAAGTTAAAACAAGACAGGAGGAATGCTACCAAATGCTACAAATGCTACCAGAATTCTAACAAGTTCTAATCAGATTATCTCAGAGGACTAACTGATCTGGCCTCTTAGTCCTCCTCCTGAATAAGACACATTACAACATCACATGCAAGTGTGCAACTGAACTTGCTTCCCGGGAGTGTAAACCTACCCTTCCTATGGAAGAGAGACTGCTGGATGTGGTCTGGTGCAAATGGCGAAAGTAAAACCCGTAACCACCTGAAAACGAAAGCAACAAAACCAAACAAACTCACTAAGCAGGTGTTAACACATACAATGTTCAATCACACAATCAGCAGAAAATGCAGAGTAACCATTCAGTTCTTCACTGTAAGTATTTCAGCACTCCAGACATCTGGAATTGCATGGCAGTAAGAGACAAACATCATCAGTCCACACGCACTCCTCTTCATTTGACACAGAGACAAACCATTGTTCTGGAACTGCATTTTACACTGTAGAACAGTTAGTTTCATCTTCAAACATGGCTATCTGCCCCAAGCATATCTCATAACCGAATGCAAACAAAATTAATCAAAAATTGCCACAGTCGGGGAAAATAGCAAACTGCACTTGAGCAGCTTCTATTCATCCAAGGTAAGCATTAAAAGCTGTCAAGGCACTAGCAGATGCTCACGATCTACCATGTCACAACACACAGATAGCAACAGCTTCCTTAAACACAAAAACTCACTGAAGGGAAACCAGGGTTTTATATGTTTTTTTTAAGAGTTCTTTTAAAGCTTAATTCTATTACGCATTATCAGCAACAACTCTAATTCCTTTCCCTTTCTTACTCCATTAAAGGGATATGTGATGATCAGGATTCCACCAAGAAAGAGCATCAGGTATCAGATGTTTAACAGCTGAATGAACAAAAGAAAACTAGGAATGCATCGCTTGGCCAATGTCATTTAAGTACACCATGTATTGGATCAATTAGTACTTAAAAACCTAAAATAAGTCTAAGTAATAATACTAAATATGCTAAGCTGGAGAGGAAGTGGAGTAGGCTTGCCTGTCCCGTGAGTGGTTAAAGACCCTGATCTGTCCATGACGGTAGATGAACTTTGAAATCTGGTATGGCTTTAGGGAAATGTGAAATGGAGACCAAGTTTCTTGTCGCTCAAACAGCTCTGGATGATTGCACACCTGTGAGAAAGAGAGCATGTCAAACACTGCGAGGAATTAATTTAATCCGATGCAGCATTTACATCCCAAATCAACTATGACTATTGATCACTAAAACTTTAATATTGATTAGTATGTCACAGCTATTTTAGCATATCGTCTCAAATCTGAATACTGCATCACATCTTTTCCTATTCGTATAACAGTTATTGCCTCTCTCTCCCAAGTGAAGGATTTCCTTTAACAACTGATTTGGAACCAAATCAGTTAGCACACGCATGACACTATTTGGCTAAAGCTCTTCTACCCCAACATCCTACTACACTGCATCAGAAACACAACTGAACTGCATGCAAATCTGCATGCCTATGCCATAAATTTTCTTATATGGTGTTTTCTAGAAGCCGTATTTTAGTTCTGTGCTAATGAATGATTACACTTTTAAAAAATTATTATTTAAAATAGCCTTACCTTCCTGAACTGCATGACTAGATTCATGAGACTACTAGTGGTGGTCTGTGCTTGCTGAGTAGTGCCCATTGAGGACTGCAGGAGGTCATCAATAGAGATTTTGTTTTTCAGAGCTTGGTACAACAGTTTCTGTCGACTTGTCTGCTGGCAGTACATAAGAATTTCAATCTGCAAAATATTAATGAAGATTTAGCCTTTTCTAGCTCTGAAATAGATGACAACATCAGTACACACAAAGCAGAGAGAAACATATCTTAAGGAAACCATAACTTTCTCAACTGTAGGCAGTTGCATTCATCTGTATTTCACGATCCAACCTGGGAAGGACTTAACCAATAGGTGTGCTTTGGAAGGCTTAGGTAATGATGTAGGAGACAGACCTTTAAAGTAAGTAAACAGATTCTTAAGAAGCTCTGAAAGTATCACATCTGCAGCTGATCAGCTTAAAAATCCAATCTCAGTGCTACTATCCTACTGTTAACATGCTACCCACTTAGCACCGTCTTAAACAGGTATCAGAGTCCACGATAACGACAGGTGCATCATGCAACAACAGTGTCTGCAGGAATTTCTAGTTTTGAAATTAATAAGCATGTCAGAACAAAGTAGATGTCTCTTAGCCAGTGGTCTCAAAATCTGGGGACATGTTGACCACAAGATAATCCAGTGTTGCTAACATTCACATGAAATTAAAAAACTAACAAGAGAGAAGATTACAATGTTGCCACTATGCATTTCCTGGTCTTTATGAGCAAGCGAAAAGAACTCTAAATCCATGACAAATCCTTCACAAAGGCAACTGGAGAAGTTTATCACCCAGTCGCTGTTGTATCAATCTCCTTCACTTCATTTAGTGACATTTCTGTCAACTTAATCAGGCTTAAAGATTTTTCATTTGTTAACTGTTCACAAAATGTTTTCCCTAGAAGAAAGTTTATTAATTAGGGGTTCTTCAGTTACGTTCACACCTAATGAGATTTCTGGGACATCGTGCCAGAAACTGAAGGTCCATGAAAGGTCTACAATCAAATTTCAGATATGCAGACTGACAAATGAGTTTGCAAAATCCAGATTAGAGAACAGAGCTATGACAATAAAGTTGAAATATTCATTTGAGTAAATACTTTTTCTCACCTTATCCGACAGCTCATTTTCCACATCCTTCTTGATCCTTCTCAACATGAAAGGCTTCAGGATCATGTGCAAGCGGGACAGCTGGTCTGAAGTACAGGAAATGGGGAAGAAGGAACAATTAAGTCACCGAATAAGAAACCTACGTGGTGTTCTACAACAAATTCAGTCCCTAACTGATCAGCCATTTGCCCCCATATGAGTTCTCACAGCACACAGCTGGAATTTCTCCATTGATTTTTCTTTTTTTAAACAAATGCCAAGCTACACTGTTTAACTTACGAATCTAAAGATCTGTTCCAAAGGATGAACTTCTAAAGCGTTTTATGTGTTCTATATTCCTCTGGGCTAAACAACATGGGCTTAAATTTATCTCTATTAGCGAAGAAGAAAGTTTCAAATGAGACATTGATAATTCACAAAAAGAGATCATCACAGTTTTAAGTCTCGCCTCTCAAAATTGTAGCATCACAAAACAGGGCACACTGCATTGACAGACAACTGCAGTCTTTATGATAACCTGTAAAAACAAAGTTCTGAGTATTTGAGAACTTTTAAAGCCTTTACTTCTGTGACAAGTTCCAACTGTGCTGTGTTCTACTACAACTATAAATCAGCTACTTCACCTAGGCAGATTTTTCTACATAATTATCCCCTAAAATTTACTGTGAAGATTGGCTTTTTTAAAATGAATTTTTATGCTTTTCTTCTGAAGCTCGAAATGTGTTTAGTGCTTTGTGTCATAATTTTTATGTCTAGAGCTTGTAACACATTCTGGAGATCTCCAAGATTATGTGCTCTGCAGAAACTTACAAATATTCAAAATACTTGTTCTCCTGCGTTTGGGAAGGAGGATGACTGGAGACAAGTAGCAAATCAACATTTTCACTACATGTTTTACTGTTCCTTACACATGCTACATTACAGTCAGAAACACAAACCTTGACATAAACTATGGACAACAATCCATAACATTCCAACCCCATTATGTACCCTCTGCTTTGGATGACACTTCTCATGCAAAAAATGAGAGAAACTTTATCCACTAGTAGCTGGAAAAGGCAACATATTTTTAACATAAAAACTACTGCAGTTACACACTGCACTCACTCTCATCAATAGCGGATTTGTTCTCTGCATGGCTCTCTATGTCTTTAGAAAACCACTCATTGAACTCTTCATGGGAATCAAACAGCGTTGGCATGATAAAATGCAGCAGGGCCCACAGCTAAAAGGAGAGAACACAGTAGGATCAGCAAGAGTCACCCTGCTGTAGACAAGGTAGTTCAGGATGCCACAGCCTTGCAACTCTTCATGACCAAAATCACTTCACTAGATCACAAGACAGGGCAAAATTATCAAAAAACCCAGCCTCATCTTCTGCCCACCCTCTACCCCCCCAACAAATGTCATATATCTCAATTTACAAAAAAAAAACACTAGAAAGCAGCAAGAAACACAGCACAATGACTTCAGCCAACAGAAGCTAAAGCCGCAAGAATTAGATTTTATCCTGCAATCTACGTATTACCAACCATCAGGTATCCTCAAGTTTTATTTTCACTTGAACACGTGGCACATTTCCAAATTATCGCCTCCCGGAGCTGATTCGATGTTTGTTTGCCAGTGGTTTGCTACAAGCATGATCCCACAACCATGCAAATACAACAGGTTTCTCAACTGTTCACATATATTTAGTATGTATTCTTGTTGTCAAGAAAAGCCCACTATTGTGAGCTCCTGAATACCTCAGCCATCGTGTTCTGGATTGGGGTCCCAGTCAACAACAACCTATTTCGACACTGGAACTGCAGCAGGATCTTCCAACGAACACTGACGAAAAAAATTTTAAAAAAAATAATTTAAACTGTTTTTTGCAGAAGGATATGAAACACAAGGTATTTTAAGACTAATTGCTTCCAGTGACCTTCCCAAATTACTTTCGGAGGTCACTGGCTAAAACTATCACAGCTACTCCCTTCTTTCAATTACAGGAAGAAGTAGCCTTTTACAAATTACAATGAAACGTGCATAATTTCTTTAATTTTTCTAAGTATCTTTTTACTCATTTTTCATACCAATGCTTGGATGCTAATAAAATCTCATTATCAGAATAACTAATTTCCCAAAAGAAACAGTTATTATGAATCAGAATGTCGTGTATTTTTCAGACTTGACAACACTAAGTGTACGGGCTGCTGCAGCAGGAGTGCCAAGCTATACATTACAATTCTCTTAAGAGAGGCAGTTTCCAAAGAATGCTGAAGAGACAGCCTTCAATCAAAATGAGTCTGCATCCAAAGCAGTCTTTAACTTACTGTGTACAGTGGCAACTTGGGCAAGGGTTATGGGAAAGCAATTACAGAAGTAAAGACGGACACATCTATTACTTGAAAACAACCTGAAAACTTTCTGGCACAGTCTTATGACAAAGATTGGGCTTTATTGCAGCCAACAGTATTCACAGGGTTCTGACCTTTATTTTTGTCTGGAAGCCACTGAAGGAGGAATCAAAATAATGCATTTAACGGAGCCAATATAAGCAATACACACTACAGACTATTCACTCGGCAGAATTCTTTAAGTAGTCAGGAAAGAAGGTGAACAGCATTTCACACGGTTTTGTTTAAATGTCCTGTACTCCATCTAAGTTTCTGCTCCAGGATTACTTTGTAATTACATTTTACATATTTGGAGAACGAAAACCTAAATGTAAAAAGCTAGTGGATCAATCCAGTGACATACAGTTATACAGATACTTAACTAGGATAAACACTTAAAGGCTCTTATTGTGTGTCAATTTTGACATCTATCAATTTGTGTAATCTTGATGTTTTCTCGATATTCCTTCAAAAGGTTGATACAGAGGGAAGATTTTGTTTCCAGTTAATTTATTACCTGGAGCTACTTTTGAGTGCTTGCGCTTCATCCAGCACCATATATTGCCACTTCACTCGCTGGAAATACTTCACATCCTGTACTACTAGCTGATAACTGGTAATCACCACATGGAAAGGAGCATCCTGAGTATACAATGTCTTCTATAACCACAAAACAAGAAACATGTGTCCACATAACTTAAAAACATTGTGAAGAGTTCACTGTACTTTCAGACTTTTGTTTCATAATCTTTTCTCATTATTACTGCATTTTTCCCCAGCTGACTTCTTCAATTAATTACAACACGATTATTCAACTGGTGGATCTGGACTTCAGCCCATTAGTCCTTGAACAATTTCAGGTGCTTCTTAATGTGCCAGATGAGACCCAGTCATTGAACCCTACAAAACGCTGTTGTTAAATCAGGAACAATCTGACTGGCCTGCAGGGATGGTAGACTTGGGCATCCTGAGTTAGGTTACTTAAACAGAATAAACAGTCCTTGACACTGAAACTTCCTGCTTTATTTACAGAGCTCTAGTTTCTTCAATCAAACTCCATACCGCCCTGAATTGCCCTGTATTGTACTGGTCTCCAGCACAAGAGAAACCTTCCACTTCATTATCTTAATGAAACTGCTACTACGTAGATGAAGAAACAGAACTCTACATCTACACACCATTTAGCTTGGTGGGGGGTAGCAACAGTTTCTGCTTTACTCTTCACAAATAACAAAAAAGGTCAAAGCACATGGGCATGCCGGTATTACCTGACTCCAGAACTTCCTGATCACCTTTCTATCATGGGGATTTCCCCAATAAGGTAGCACCTGGAACAGTACAAAAGTAGAAAGACATTATTTTCAAATAAAGATGTACCTACTCTAGATTTTTATACTACGTATTCTACAAAATGAGAAAGACAGACCTCTTTCTCCAGAACAACGAAAGCGGAAATTATCTTAACACAGAGGAAAAAAAAAATCAGAAAGCACCTAAAAATACTTAGAAACAGAGCATTCCAGGCAAAGGTATCACGTAACTTCTGCCTAGTACAAAGACTAGATCAAGCTATGGTAAGAATCTCAAAATGCCCACTAGTATCTTATGCCTTCTAGTCAGGTTTTTCTAAAAACTAAAAAATTATACTTTGCTTACAGCAGAAAGAGGTCCACCCTCAACCACTGCAGCTAACCCTACAGAACTAATAGGCTTGTTCTCCTGTTTCATGTTCCCAGTTGTCCCACTGGTTTTGTATTTCAGAACTGTTCCCAAAAAATCTGAAATAAAGTTAAAACATCTGGCCTGGAAACATTTAATATAAGAATTTTAAAAAGTAAGCACTACTGCCAGAGAAACCTGTTAATCCATTTATGGCTCAGAGTTTCATGGGTCTCATTACTCAGATCTCTGCAGCGCTGAAGCCAGAGTTCCTGGTTAATGACATTGTACTGCCGTCTGCTGCCTGGCGAGAGCACTACACTCAACTAAGGCAAACTGAGGAATGCTGGCTTCTGGCGTTGCCAGAGCTCAAGTATCTCCATCCCTCAATTGACAAGCTCCAAATTTCAAAGGGCCTTTAGCTGAATATTCTTCCAACTGTTCTGAAATAAGGACGCTAGTTAAAAAAAAAATCAGACTAACAAAAAAGTGATTTCCCTTTTAGCTTATGTATTCTGCCATGGGCCTAATTCACTGTGATTTACTACAAGCATATGATTACAAGCGCTTGTGTATGATTAGAAGCACGAACAAAACTGGCTGAAAAAGACTGATCAAAGTTGTAAACATGTAACAGTCATAAGTTTAGAAAGCTTAGTTTTAAAAAAATGTTCAGTTCCACAGATGAGGCAAACTTTACAATGCAATAAACCCAAAGAACAGCTATATAACAGATAGAAACAGAATTTTTTTTTTAATCAAAAAAGGGATAATTATCTTCTCACAAGCATCCTGACTGCATTTTTTAAACATTTTCTGTATTTCATTCATGAGAAGGAGAAAGCATAAACAGTTGCTCACCTGTTCTACACAATGAACTGATCAAAGGAAACGAGAGAGTAAGTAGACTGGCCAACTGCTCTAATGTTTTCTATTCTGGAGTTTTTAATCAGGGTCCCTATTGCTATGGGCTATGCAAATACACAAATGGATTATTTTTAGGTTTTAAAGTAACTCCTCACTAACTTAAGCATTCCTATTTCTTCTTCAGTTTCTTTAAAGTCTCAGTAATCCCAGTTTATCCCAAAATATAAGCCACTGAAATCATACAGTATTGAGCTACGTTCTAGCACAATGTCTCCTCATATAGATACCTCAAACTATACACCACCATAACCAACATACGGTCTCATCAGGGATCTGCAGAGCAGGCTATCTGATAAAAGGCAAGTCCTTTAATACTGCCCTACCTCAGATCAAGAAATCAAATATTACTTATAGTAGTACTTTCAAGTCTTTTCCTACACCTTATTAAGTAGCCAAGAGAATCCAACAATTAGCCTGGATGTTACTGGTATACTGGTTACTTATAACTACGTCTTTTACTGTTCTTACATACTCTCTGTAAAAAAGAAAATCACATTTAAAAAAGCCTGATCAAGACCTCTTCATAACAAAGGTTACGAAGTTAACAACTCAAATATTTCAACTATGATCTATTCTTCTTTGCAGATGTAATGGTAAGCTTCTGAGACTTTCACCCATCTTTAATTCTGAAATTTCAGCACTGTTTCAGCACTACACATTCTTTTCAAATCTTTCTTTGAAACACTCCAATGTTTTCCACTGGAGAATATGTAAGCAGCTTGTTTTTCAGTAACTGATCGTTCCTGGCTTTCTACCTTACTATGTTTTCCCATTCACAGTATACCCGAGGAACTCCATTTATTTTCGTCTGTTCTTTGTGCCTCACTTCTCTTCTTTTTGTTGATTACTGGTTGTATGTCTACAGTTCTTCCATTCGTCTGTGGTAACAACTGTATTCTCACTCCCTTTAATCTGCTTAGATTTAAGTTTTGTAATCATCCAATCTTGTATCTCATCCAAATAGACATGAATCACTGAAAACACTGCTCTAGCCCTGAAGACAGTACAGAAGACTGAATTATTGTTCTTGTATCTGCTGCCAGGCCCACACATTAGAACTGAACAGCCACTCCCTGCCCCACTTCAATTCCTCACTAAGAAGGTGTCTCCAAGCTGTTACAAAAGGAAAATCATATAATTCAAGTATGAACATATTAAACACTAGATAATTGAATGCTCCAGAGAACCAGGATGACAGAAAAAAGTATCAGGATCAGGCCCGCTACAGAGTTTTAAATTCCAAGGTAATTAGGCATGCAAATGTGGCAAAGAACTCAGGAGAGCAAAACAGTTTGCTTTCGAGAAAAAAGAAACAACTTTCTTGCACATGCTTATTACCTTAAATTTAGGTACAAATCTGGCAAACTCCTGGTGCCAGTTGTTAAGAGTAGAGGCAGGGGGAATTTTTAAAAAAGGTCCCCAGATGTTCTCTCTCTGGAATAAAAGGATTAGGGGGAAAAAAAAAAAAAAGACACCCAGAAATTAATTAGGGGCAAGGGACATAGAGACAGTTTGATACAGCTTTCAACCGCTAAATGACAGTGGCTACAGAAGAGAAGGAACTATACACAACACAACAAAACTTCCCCCCAGCACAGCAGGGTGATACAGAATCAAACAGAGCAGATCTAATGTTTAACTAAGACTTATTTCATAACAGCAAACCAGAACAACCACCACTGTGTTAACCTTGCCCGCTCCTTTGTTTCTGAAAGTTGCCACCTTCACATTACTAACTGCCCCTGTCATTTTGGGGAGGGAAAGAACTTCAGGTGGCACTGGCAAACTTTGACTCCATCACATCACATCAGAACGCAGTCTGGTGAATAACAAAGTTGGGCCATTAGTGCATTAGTAGTTACAAGCAGGCCTGCAGAAGCGAAAGACAGAAAAAGTAAAGGCCCTGTGAAGGCTTCCAAAAATCTCCAGCTGCAGTGCAACAGGGATACAAGCCTATCTGTTATCCCTTCCATACAGATGAGCTCAAGAGCCTCTGGCTCTGCACACTCTTCCATTACTGTGGTCGACTGTGCCAGTGAACTGGTACCAAAAGGAACATAAGCAAGTGCACGTAATTGTCATTTGGTCACTACTGTAGCTAGTTCTGCTTGTAGAATCACTTGGTTGGTATCTCTTATTTAAGGCAAGTGACTGGATGTCAATCAAGGCTTTATTTTTAAAATAAAGACACCTATTTCTGCATAAAGTAGTAAGCTCCTGTTGCTTTTTCTATTTTGCTTGTCTGCCCTGGCACAGAATAACAACTGCGCTTCCTGAAAAAAACCCACAAATACGGAAATCCATGCTGATGGCCATGAAGCTCAGAATTTGGGCTTCATTTCTGATTTGTCTCAGTCTCTGATTTGTGAAAGTCAGTGAACCATGAAGTCTACAACTTGTTCTCTTGTCAGTCTTTCACACTACGTGCAAGTTCAAAGATATTACTCTGAATAAATAAAAAATCCATTTATATATATATTTACCTACACACACACACAGAGGTATCTACATACACACCCCCCCTTTTAAAGCCATAGCTTTAAAACAAAGGGAAATGCCATAGCTAAAATGCCTTTTAAGACATTAAAGCTTTATAATCTATAATTCATTTCAAAGGTGAAAAGTATGAATCTTCTATCAAGCATACTGACCAGGAATAAGCTATAATTGACCTACCTCAGCCAGATGTGCAAGGAGAGCAATACTTTGTACTGTTTTACCCAGACCCATTTCATCTGCCAGGATTCCATTGATGCCCTGCAAAAGATCCATCAATGAACGCTTTTGACCTTACTGTTTTTTAATCCATACAGGACTAGCAGAACGGCTGCCACTGAAATTAGGCAGAGCAGCCCCAGTGTAACAACTCTGAAACATCTGATTGACTCTTATGTCTTCTGCTAATAGATAATCTATCTCAATTGTACTTTCATTCATTTCTCAGACTGATTTTTTTCCCTCAGCCTGTCTGCACTTTGCGGTCACATTGCCAGCTGGGTACACACAGAAGGACAAGGCTGCCTGCAGTTTACTAGCTGATCAAAGCCTGAAACAGTATGCTGCTCCAAGCAGCTGAAGTTTCCTCGGTGTATAATCTAAGTGATAAACAGCTGTATAAACATCCACAAACAGTTGTATAAACAGCAACAAAGACTCTTGAACTTAATGCCCCATTCAAAGTTGTTATTTCCTAAATAATCAAAAACAATGATAGGTGGCTTACATAATATTTTCCTTTCTTCTGCAGACATTACAGATTTAGTGTATGTGGTCTATTTTTAAAATGACTACATTTTTTTTGTCCAAGTTTACTCTAATGACTTAAGAAATCCTAAAAGTTTTAAAAATCTGCAAGGTGTACTAAGATACCTGCTCATATAGGTTGGCCAGCCAATTCATGCCTTTCAGTTGGTAACCTTTCAGTTTTCCATTGAAAATAGTAGGCTGCGGAATATCTTCTCCTGCCCGGATAGATGGGTTTGCTAAACTGTAGCTTTCTCCAAAGCCAGTACCAGACTTGTTAGCAGCCCGTAAAGCAGCTGCCCGACTTTCCTTTGCATCTTCATCAAATGATCTGGTCTAAACAGGAAGAGGAAAGTACGTGTAAGATGACGAGCATGGTAATTGATCAAGAAACTGTATAGTATTAGGCTTTACACTTCACATTGAGACACTGGATGTCTGCCAAAATCTAACAGAAAACAAGTCTGTTCCTACAGCCCCCATCTTTATATTCTGGTTTGCTATCTGTTTAGCACAGAAAGTGGCAATGGAATTGAATTCATATCTGGTGCCCAGAATTAAACAAACCTCCTACTTCACTTGGCTGCTACGAAAGATCCTGGTTCTGTGGTCTTTACCAATTACTCTGCTTTCTTTTCTAGTCCATGGATCCAAAAAATACATACCCGGGCCTGATGAATCTGGTAAGCATCTTCAGCATTCTTCAGAGCTTGGGCCTTGTAATAGTTACTATCTGAAAACAACATCTCTATGTTAGAGCTCTGCAGCAGTAACCACCCAAATTAAGACACAGGTAAACTCTAGTAATTATAAAAGTGCTTCTTACATAGTAAGATTTTGTGCTTGAAATAGTAAGTTTGCACAATAAGTTGCAGAGTACAGTAAATTTCAAGACAGGGCACACGAAGGATTGTACACGAATCGCTTACCATAATCTTCTTGGGTGATATTGACCACTACTCCTCCGCCAATATCAATCTGCCTTTGGGTAGAGCTGTCTTCCAGTTTGCGTAGGATTTCCTCCTGTATTCCATCATGTCCAATATCTCGTTTACGACTCATAAAATGGGCATATAATTCAGTTTGTGTGATCAGGAAGTTAAGTTTTCGCTGCTGCCTCTTAGCCTAAAAGAAGAGTATTTACAAAAAACAGAGGCGGGGGGGGGAAAAACAGGACAAAAGTTTAATGTTTATAATTCAAGAAAAAATGATCATCTAATATCAACAGTTATATATTATATTATGCACATCACTGTGACAGCAAAATGCTAGAGTACTAGTTGCACATAAAAACAGACCACCACCATAAACATGTATATTAAAATATAAAATTGTTATAAATGAGAAGTTCTTTTAAATTCTGTAATCATGGCAAAGAACACCATAATCTAATACAATAAAGTTTTTGTTTACACTGAAAAATTAAAAGACTGACAAAAATAAACAGGATTTTAGTGATCTACAGTAAAAGAACTGAACGGTTAAAAAAACCTCTCATAACAACTCCAACATTTTGTTATTTACTAGAAAAAGAATTATGGTATAATACATTAAATGCATCACTATGTAACATAGTTGAGATTTTATCATGGCTCAGGGTTCAGCAAGACTTGTACAAACTGTTCATTCTTAGGTTCTGGCTAAAAAATGCTATAGATTAATAGACAACTTCTAAATCAGCTGAAACCTTCACAAAATGCTTATGAACTTGCAAGAATGAGAGGAATGCAATAAACAAAAGCATAATTTGAGCATAAAACTAAACATAAGGTATTTTAAAGATTCAACCTTAGCTCATCACCACACATGTAAGGTAACAACCATAAATCCACTAGTGAGCTTTGGCAAGAAAGCTTATTCTTAAATTCAGCACCTATTACTCTGTAAGGGAGTCCATGAAGCTGTCACATGGCCAACAAAAAAAGCAATCACAGAAAAATTCCGTGTCTCATACATGAATTATGATATCAATTTACAGCAAGGGGGAAAAAGACAAAAAAAAAAAAAAAAATTCAGTGTGAATGAAAATGTGGCTTGCCTTCTGAAGCCAGAATGATGTACAAAGCATCACAAAAGCCTGGCCTTTAGTAACTCTGAGTTATGTATGTCTGTGAGACAAGCTGCTTGTCTAATCCCTTCATTCGTTTGTAAAGAATTTACACAGTCTAAAGGCTTTTATTATCAGCTCTAGCTAACATTAGAAGAATTATGTCAAGAACTTTAAGATAGCAGTAGAAATCATGGAATACCGCTGAAACAGAACAAATAAGTGAATTTCATGGCCTGGATTTAGAATCTCAAATTATCCAGACACTTCTGCGACAGATTAATTATCAGCATTTCGTGGTTTTGCTGTACCTCTCTCATCTCCTCATCCAGCTTGCGTTGCTCCAGAGCCTCTTTCTCAGCTCTTTTGCGATGTTCTTTTTCCACCTTTTCATACTTTTTCCAATAGAGAAGCATCTCTTTGGTAAGACGACGTGCTCGTGGTAGAGTTTCCTTGCAGTTTTTCTGGGCCTGGATAGCAGCTCGACGTACCTCCCTCATGCACTGATGGGCAAGCTGGAGTGAAATAACGTTTTGGAAACAGTGGTAAAATCAGCAGATTTTAAAGAAATCCAGCAATAAACAACATCAAATTTGCTTACAACCAAATCTGAGCCTTCAGAGAGAAAAACTGTGATATTTCACTCAGCAGTATCGCTTTTGAAACAGCATGAAAGTGCATCAACTTCCAAAACCTCCTGACATGAAGACAAAACCTGAAGACAGTTTCAGTGTGGCATGGTGCTTAAAGGATTCACCTGGTGGTTAGGTCCTTGAAGGGGACTCAGAAGACCTCAGTTCAAGGCTTGCCTGCAATTCTGACTCATCTCTTCTACATGCTTTTCTGTGGTACCCACGCTTTCTCACTGTTTTACTAAGGCTGATACAATAGCAGTACTGGAGGAATACAATCTCACTCACATGTTCATACACTGAAAAGCGGTGACTATCCTACTATTTTCCTACCACCTCATGAAAAAGCATAACAATGTAATTTTTCATTCTACTATAAATTAATGCCATTGTCATAATGGTCAAAATTGCTGGGTTTAATACTTGTGACAGGGTTTTTTTCCTCCACTAAAATTTGCACATCAACAATTCTAACACACAGATTTCAAATGATCAAACAAAATGAAAACAAAGAACAAAGAAGTGGGATTTCAAAACCGCTAAGTGTGTCACATCACTCACTTGCTAAAATGCAGTTTGTGATATCTAGAAATACAATAATCGCGGGTTATTTGCCCAGACATGACAAAGCAGCCCACTCTCTGCTAGCTAAGGGGGAGCATAGGAGAGAACCCATCCACAACAAAGTTTCGCAAATATACACATGCAGGTCCTGTTTTCCGCATCCCTTACACAGAAAGTGCTCCCCTTCTTGATAAGGTACGTACAGAATGGAAAATCTCCTACATCATCTTCTCTCTCGTAATTCTCAGCCCTATATTTATACGTTTTCATTCACCACGTAAGTCAATCAGACAATTGAGTGTAACACTTGAAAAATGCTCAGAAAGCCATTATCAAGTGTTTCTGCAGTAAAGCCTTCTAGGTAGAAACAACGACACTTCTCAGCGAAGACTCTGATGAGAAGATAAATTCCTCTTGCAATCACTTAAGCAGAAAATTGTTCTATTCTTAATCTCAGCTCCTATATATATTTATGTAATTTAACACATTCAAGATTCCAAGAGCCCCTTTGATTTAAACAAGAATCCTTCCATCAGCAAATTCTAGCTAGTGGATAGATGGGCAGTTCAAAAGCCCATCATTAACCTATTGTTCAAAGATCAGTAAATTAAAAATGTACAAACTAAATCTTATGAAAGCCAAAAAGATCTCACAAAAGAAATTCATGTTGCTCATTTCATCTGTTGCTTATGAAACAGGCCAAAATGACACATCTAAAAAATGAAAAGCCTTCTACTAAGTAACAAATTACTTCTATACAGTGCTTTCTCCTATACTGCCCTGCTAGTACAGTCAGCATTATAAGAAACAGAAGAAACATACAGAGGTTACAGTTTGCCTATTACACCCAGTACAAGTACTTGCATAAAGCTAAACAACACTTACCTTTTTGCTGTTGGTTAGAAAAAGGTTGCGGGCTGAGGCTTTTTGTTTGTATGCCTACAAAATAATAACATCTTAAAATTAGTTAAAGGGTAATGGCTTCACAGTATTTCAAAAGATCACTTTCCAGTCTTCAGCAGATTTATGTGCCAACCTCAGCGACGCACACTGCTGTATAATCAGGTACAGGTACTGTAAGTATTTTTTATTTTGACTGAAACAGCTTTTCATCCTTAGTTATTGAAGGCATGTAGAAATGTATTCCAACTCCCAAAGCATGGACGTAAAAAACCTCCTTCTTCAGGATCATTTCCTTTAATTACTACTATTGCAAAGCAGGGTTCCACTATTCCACTGTTATCACTGACGTAAACAACAAAAATTGCCACTGTTTCCCAAAGATGTTAAGAATTAATGTAGATCTATGTTCTTCACATGATCAAAATCAGTCTTTTGAAAAAACAAGGTCTATCACACTGCATGTACCCTTCTTGCCTGCCTTTTAAGTTCATGTAGGATGCTATAGTCATCACTCACATTCAACTTCCTAGAATTTAAAGTCTGTTAACTGTGAACTCCAAAATGCACGCTGTAAGATTCACTCTGATCATACCTCAGAAAACTAGCGACAGTGAACCCAGCTTTCTATTTCTAATGTGCCTGAAGCTCCTCCCGCAAATGATACAAACACTTTTCCCTAGACTGTTTCTGAAATGTTTCAAAAAAGACGCACATTACAATGATGAAAACACTCCCTCCCTGAACTTTATGTAAAACCTAGATATTGGTTTGCTCTACATTGCTATTCTGTAGATTAAAAGGACTAATGGCTACAGTTTACTGTACTATTCGTAGAAAAGGGTTGGATAGACAAGTGAAAGCAGTGGCAAAAGCACTGCATGATCCACTCAGATACCACTGGTGATAACAAATCTGAACTATAGTTTGCTTGTGGATTACAGAGTATCACTTTGGTCATTAATGATCACCAGAAAAATCAGGTCTTGCTTCACTCTGTTCTTCCAAGTGTCAACTCCCCACTAAGTTAATTTTCTACTTCACTTTCTTGCCACGATCACTGATTTAGTGCCATTAGCGAAGCTCACCTTTGGCAACTCCTTTTTAACAATGCTAAGCCACACTTTCCGCCGACGTGCATTAAGTTGCTCAACAGTCAAATGCTTTTTCTTGGATCCAGGTGGTGGCGTATCATGAGAAAACTTGGCAAAAACTTTGGTCTGGTGATGGTGGCGTCGTGGTGACTCCTCTGAAGAGAGTTCTTCATCTCGTCTCCTCTTTTTCTTTACTTTTTTCAACTTGCCTACATGGCAACAATGACCACAAAAATCAATTTCTTTCTCTATTTTTGGGATACATTTAGTGAGGTATCTTTCCTGAGCAAACTATCTTAGTCAATTTATGCGTGGAATCAAGAAAAAAAGCCAGACTGATCCATGTTTGCCAACTCTGGTACCATCCATTTATCATATTACGTATTTCCTCATCACTTTATAATAGAAACATTTGCCTAATAGAGTGATGAAATGCAATTTTTCCACCTAGGGAAACACGCCTTGGGAGCTAAAATCTCTGGGACCTGGTGCAATGTTTCTTGCTTTGTGATAAAATTCTACTTAAAGACGGGTAAAGGTAAGTCATTTAAAGGCAACAACATTAGCATTTGGTAGGATCAGTCTCAAAGCAAGCTTCTCAGCAGTTGATAGAGATTGGCATGTTATCACCTATTACAGATACCAGTTTTCAGAGGAAACTGATACTGGTATCAGGTGTTAAAAATACTCTTTTTGAGTATGCAAAATCATGGACGCTGCAAGATTAGTGCAGAAAAAAAAACCACCAGAGTTAAAGAAGGAGGGAGGGAGGGAGGGAGGGAGGGAGCCCAAAATAGCCCCTTTAAAACGCAGCTCAAACTTAAGTACTTGCACTAGAGAGAATTCACCTTACGCTGACAGTTCATAGCCTTCCCTTCCTGCTTCCTTACAGATTTACAGCTGCTGCCAGCTCAATCAAAAAAGGAAACTGTACTTCCTAGCAAACATGCATCTGAGAAACTCCAGCTGAGAGGTTACAGAAGTAATTCTGTTTTAACTCACATTGGACATCAACTCTGAGTTCCCTCTAATTTCCAGAAAACACTCTCACTCCTTATCGTTTCTTGTTCACTAGAATTACATATTCAGGAATAACTGCAACAGGTACTGGCTACGTTCTTACATTTTTCAAGGAACTATTGTGTTTCTAAAAAACTCTGAGTAAATGGACCATGATACACAATGGTATTTACAGATTCTCAAGCAATGAATGTAGCTATCAGGTACTGCATAACTCTTTCATTTCAGATTCAGAGGTCCACAAAGAAAACTGAAAGCCATGAACTCTCAATTCACATTCCTTTTTTTCACTCTAGCTTTCTAGAAGCCAGAAGATAAAGCGCAGTACTTTCTACAGATTTTTTTCTGACAGAACTGGGTATTTCCATGCAAAACCCAGAAGTTTTGAATATTTATGTTTACTCAAAGAAAATAACATAGGAAAGCAGATTAACAACAGCAGCCATTTAAAAATTTAAAGGGTAATGACTTTACCTTTTAATTTTTTCTCTTCTTTGAACTTCTTTTTCTTGGGCCCTAGCAGGTGGCGCTGCTGCTCGTAGTAAGGATCATGTGTAGACAGCAGTCCTGCACTGTAGTATTGATATTGCTGCAACTGAAGTGGATGTAAGTGAGCACAGTACCGGAAAACAGATACAGCGGATAACAGAGATACCAGGTAAATAAATTGAGATCTTGATCATAAATAAGAGATCAGAAGCATGCACTTCTCCATTTAGCATTGTTATCAAGGATCATACCATGTCCGAAGTGAAACCACTGCTCCCAGAGGTGGCCTCCAAGTTCTACACAGAGACCCAAGCCCACTTAGTTAAGCAGGATGAGAAGGGCAGGCAGTGAAGCTTACAATTTCAAAACACACTGCTCTATCTTTTCCACACAGGTGCTGCCCAGCAAGACAGCACTTCACATGAAGTGGTCCAACCACGGACCTCCTATTTGTTTTGACTGCATTCCCAAATTACATATATGTTCTACTTTATCATTCCAAAGGATGCAAAAGGACAGGTTTACATAAAAGACTTCCACAAGGACAAACAACTCGAACACTCACATTGCCAAGTAAAAATATAGCTGCCTCGGCATTTTTTTCCCCAAAATTATCAAAAAAGTCAGTATATTCCAAGGACTATTCAACTAAAATATTAAAGAACTATACACAGGTTACACATAAACAGGCAAATTAAAGACAACACAGGCTAGAAATTAACAATTTAAAACCTAAGCATACTAATAAGTTCATAAAAGATTTTTGAAAGGTGAGAAGATCAGCATAAACTAACTTTTTTGGACAGGTGTGTTTGCCCCCCCTCATAACTACCCTGGTTATTTGCACTGGATATTATTTGTTACTAGTCTGGAAATATGTATTTGTGTAAAATCTAACAAAGGCTATGACCTGTGTAAAAATTGGGTGTATTTGCATAGTTCTATAATATTTCAAGAAGCTAATACAATCTTGGCTTAGAAGTTAACAAGTAAACAAAGGAAAGAAGTGGACAGAAGCAAAGGCCTGGGTGGGAAAATATTTCCTCACTCTTTGGAGAAATTTCAAAATAATATTAAACAAGACAACAAATTTTCATTTCAGACACATCCTCTGACAGCAGAATAGGATGACTTCCTTCATCCGAGACTACCTTCTGGTGCAATTCAAAATGGTGATGAAAATAACTGCTGCAAAAGCCCTCATAATTTGAAGAAATATATTATTAGAATCAAAACAGTCATAGAAATTGGCCTAATATTAAGAAAAATGCAGAAATACCGCAGACTATTTTCTTACAAGAAGGGAAAGAATATGAGAAGAAAATCCAAAATAAAAAAGGTGAGAAAGAAAAAAAAAGAAAGTCAAGTAAAACCCCAAAGAATGACAGAAAACAGTAAGAAAGAAAACTAGGAACTCCTTTTCAAGCAGGTAAACATCGCCTTAATACTCATCACCTCAGTGATGATGCAAGTATCCTGCTTTAGGTTTAAATATACAGTTTTAGTCTTGAACAGCAGCTACCACCTATATTAGAATTCAACCCACAGCACATCAGTTTTAATATATATCACCCAAACGCACCCTGTATTTGCTCTAGTGACTAGAACACAGCACTGTGGAAGCCATATATAACACATATGCCAGTACTAGCTACATAAATTATTGACAGATTCTCAGCATAAGGCTTTTCAGTCTCTATGTAATTGATTAACCCTTGTCTAAAACTGATGTTAGATTGTTCTCGTCTACCAAACAACAGGATATTTTCCAGTCCCCAAAATATTATGGGTTTTGGTAAAAATGTAAGCGCAGTTAAAATAACACAGTTAAAGGAAAGAATAAAAATCAAGGAAATTTAAAACTTTTTACCTCTTTGTCTTTGCTGTATTTACTTTGATGCAGTTTCTTATATTTGTGTAATCGCAGCATATTGTGAAGTTCTTCCCTCGAAAGTGAAAATTCTTCTTCCTCCTCTCCATCTTCATCACTTGGTGAATCTGTGTCACTGGAGTCATCACTCAGAAGGATACTCTAACGAGAGTGAACGGAAACTAATTTAACAATCGCAAGCCCCTATACTGAACTGTTTATTTATTCAAAGCAGTCTTGAGCCTTTACCTAATAAAGGGCTGCGGGTCTGGCCCAACAATGCCACTTAGCATTTACAAAGTGTCTTCCATTTGAAACGCCTCAAATGGAAAACAGTTTTCTGAGGTACAGTACTGCATAGCAGTGAATCCAATAAACATTTTCTGATTGGGGGGAGGTAGTCTTCTATTAGTTTGGTGATAGTTAAGTCACTTTAGAATCCACTTTGTCTACAGTCTCAGAAAAGCAGCAGTGAGAAAATCCAGGATACCGCTAGGGGCATTCTGTGATATACGATTGCAGGTACTTCCCTATCCCATCTGTAGTTTGTTGGGCTATTCTACCACTTCCACCTGCATCAGTTGCAGCAGGTTTGGCTCTTGTCTGGAGTCTTGGCATTCTGTTCTTGCAAACTAGAGAAGGCTACAGTACAATGAAAAGGCAAAGATGGTATAAAGTCACAATTCCACTCTCTCCTTTCATCCTCACTTCGACCTTGTACCGAGTTCATCTTAGAACCAAATTGTCAGGCAAGTCTCAAATGTTCATTTAATATATTTCGTAACAGCTCATTTAATTTTGGACAGTGTACTAAAATTATTTCAAGTTTCTGAATGTATACTGTGAAATTTAACTAAAATGCTGCTGCTCACCAAAACTGAAATGCCTACTGGACGTTTTGGTACACAATGAAAATGAAAGCCTCTAATCTAGAGATACTATAACTCTACTTTGTTCTACCCAAAGTCTAATACAATATACATTATCAACTGTCACTCTTCTTTCTTTCCATTTCCAAGATGAGAAGCCTCTGTAGAATGTATTTTTTGCTTTGTGTTTTTTTTTAATGTAAAAAAACCCCAAACCTCATTTCCTTCTTAGCAAGGGACACTAGCTCCAGTTACCTCCAAAAAAAAAAAAAAAAAACACCACCAGTGCAGCAAACAACAAGCCAATATAGAACAAAACTAAAGAATTCACCTGGAGCTCTCTTCAGCAACACAAAATATTACCCCATCTCTATATCACCCTATGCCTCTTTTTCAGTGTGAGATTTTGCATGAATCAAATTGCATCACATAATTTAGAGCAGCTCTTAAAATGTTAGTTTAGCTTTCTGAGCTCTCAGTAGTACAGGTAAATTAAAATTAAACAAACTACTGAGCTGAGAACAAACTTACTGTAAACCTACTGTATTTGGAATTGTATTTGTGATAATTTGTGATAACGCTCTGACCATTGCTCAACTTATTTTCTTGCTGCCGTCTGCTTGCTTACACGTTTCTACACCATGATCTACATCGGATGACAAGACGGAATCACTCACCACTGCTACAAGGTGTTGACTGGAACTCTACTCACAGATTTCATAATGGCTGCATTTCTTTCCAATATTCTTACCTTCAGCCACTTTCTGCTTTTCTTCAGTTTGGAAAAATTATACAAGCTCCCTTTTTCAGACTTTTGTTCTGTTTAGCAAAAAAATAAAAATAAAGTTCTTGAGAAATAATGCTTTTCCCAGCTTATCCCAAAGAAAGCAGAGATTCAGCCTAGTGCATGCCTACCTGGCTGCAGTACTCCATTCAGAGAATGTGCATTCAGCATCCCAGAATTCCCTGCTCCAGAAGATTCCCCAAGCAAAGAGTTTGGAGGCTCTTCCTTAACTTGCATCAGGGGATCCCCAGACTGAGGCAGCAAAGGATTGTCATCCAATCCATCTTCACTTTCATCACTGCAAGAAAATATGTAACACGGTGACAACAAAAGGAAAATATTCAGAAGAGGAGTTAGCCATGCAGCTTTCTTACACATGGCCATTTGTCTAGAGGTTTGAAAATTGAGACAACTTCAGATGTAATTTTATACATTAGAAATACTGCTGTTAATTTCCTGTTAACCCCTTGTACTGTCCCAGACCAAAGTGAAAAAGATCACCTTCCCTCACCCACCGAGTGGGATGGGACACCCCTTGGCAGTAGTTAACCACCAGACCAGCCTGGCTATGCTATCAACCTGCACCTTCAGTCTTTAACTAGGTATCTAATCTGAGAAGCACAAGTTAAGCAAGAAACGAATATCAAGTCAAACCAAAGCACAATATTGTTATCCTCAGCCCTACCGTACATGTGAGAAATATAAAGCTATACTCCACTCCTTGTGTGGATCTAACATGCTTGTAAATGTACCTGTTGTCTATCATGCATACAGCTATGAGTTCTGTAACTCTACAATTCCAAAACACTGAGGAAATTAAATGTACATTGTTTTGGGACAGAAACGTACCCTGATGACTCAACTCATTGCTACAACTTACATATAAATTCTGCACCTGACAACTGTGTTTGCATTTCACTTATGGCTACAGGCCATCTCCCTGAAAAATCATTTTAGTATTTGTTCATCCTACTTTTTGCAGACAAAGAAAGTTTTGGCCACCCAGCTACAAAAAATAGCTTTAAAATGTCATGCTAATTTGTACATGTGCTGGCAACAGACCGAATTATCAGTGTGAGCTAAGAGAAGCACACTGCAAAATCTCTGAAGGAGAAGAGTTCATAATGAACAAGTCACCACTAAACACTTAATATGGTGTTGCCTGGGAACAATGTAATAAAAATGCTTGTCTTTCCTTTGGTATTCCCAAAGGAAAATTGAAATGGTTTTGGTACCTGGATATACTCCTGTTAAAGATGGCAGATGTCTGTTGTAGAAACTGATCCAGTTGCAGAGCTTTCTCCAGATATTGCAGATAGAGGGGTTTTGCCAGCTCTGAGCAGCTGCCATCCTCCCTGGCACCCAGCTCTGAGGCCATAGAACAAACTTCTCATGCACAGGTGCCTCTGAACACACAGCTGTTAAGAAGAAACAACAGCCATCATCACCACCACCACCACCTCTGGAAGGAACAAACTCGGTGAGCAGGCAAATCTACTGCATGCTACACCAAATGCTAGTATTTCACAGAACACATAACCGAGGCAGTTCTGGGCAAAAAACTTAGGTTGCAGTTAATAGGTATATTAAACAGAAATTCACACAAAACTTTCCACCACAATATTACTATAGCCAAAAAGCAGATTCTTAGTTTTCTGTTTTATGACTTCATAGACGCCGTTTGATAGGAATGAGCACTACAGTGACCTGTATGATAATCCAAGTGGTGACACAGAAATGCAAAGTACAATGAAGCCAGTCCTTGAACATCTAAAGCAGACTTTCATCACTATTGAAGATATTAAAGATAACCTGCTGATAAACAAGTTATAAATACTTGACCAAAAACACCTCCATTCTAAAATCTGTTATTTTTATTAAAGAAAAAGTAACACTTAATTAGCAATTTATTACATGCTTTTTATATTTACTTATTTAGAACATACTCTAGATTCATGTTTTATCAACTAGTAAAAACAGCCATCCTGATTTTCATTTTTTATTTGTTTTCAGGATTTTAGATTCTTAAAAAACCAAACACATCCCTCCTGCAATATTTGCATAATATATACTTTAAGAATAAAAATATCAACACATTTTATTTCTCTATCAACTGCAGTTTTATTTTCCTTCAACTACAAGAGATGCTGTAACAACTGTTACAGTAACAGGCCTGTCAAATAGAATTTTATTTTTCTTCCATTACAAAAGATGCCATCATTGTTATAATAATAGTGAGAAAGATAATTTTAAATTATTTCCAAAGTCACAGCGCTCACTGTATAAATGAAGGTGATTTTATTTCTCTATCAACTGCAGTTTTATTTTCCTTCAACTACAAGAGATGCTGTAACAACTGTTACAGTAACAGGCCTGTCAAATAGAATTTTATTTTTCTTCCATTACAAAAGATGCCATCATTGTTATAATAATAGTGAGAAAGATAATTTTAAATTATTTCCAAAGTCACAGCGCTCACTGTATAAATGAAGGTGCTGTCAATACCCTAAATATGATAGTATTTGCTAATAAATGCTTTAAGCTTTTGCTTCTGGTGGAGGCCAAAAATAAAACCAATCAGCTTTTGAAATACTTAGATTAATTGTTCTTCTGAGGGATTCTTCCAGTTTTTATCACTTTTTAAAAATACTACAAAACCTGAAGCATGCTTCACATCAATTTACTGCAATACATTTTATATTTGTTCAATTATTAACTTGTTAATGACTAAATTGTTTTAAGCTTATGTAAGTGAAAACACAGATTGAGTATCTGGTCTTCCAATTGTTCTCTCTTCACGTACACAGACCAAAAACCAGCAGCGAACTTTTTCCAAGTCTTCTATCCTCAAAAATTACAGCACAGATTCAGAACTTCCTAAGTTACAAAAACACTAGGATAAGTGATCACCACCTTGACAGTAATGGCTGTGGTTGAACAAAAGCAAATTGTATTATTTCTTAATCAATGCCTAGCCTTGAGTTAACATCTTTACCCATACAGAATATACAACAGCATGCCAGAAATTGTTAGACGGGATAACAGCCCTCATTTTAAAATTATTTTTAGACTGAAGCTGTGTACGTTCAGCTTTCTATACGGATCTTCGCTCACCTGACAGCAATGAAATGATTGCCCCGTTACCAAACACCCATTTGCAGCAGAAGTTAGAAGACAGAACAAAGCACCTGAAGGCCTTCCCTATCATAACTGTATTAAGATTCATGTTTTGCAAGAAACTTTCAAGGTACATATGCCAAACTGCTTAACAGCCATCTGAAAAAAACCACCCTAAAATCAAAAACTGTCTTCCAAGAGACAGGGCCATGAAGAAGGTAAAGAGGTTATAAAACAACAGGAAACATGAAACTGGTGTCTCTGATGGAAGAAATCATTCAGGAGGAGACAGAAAAGGACACCAAGAAGGTGAAAGATATTTTCTCTCAGATCACCATTAAAAATGATATATACTGTACGAGAAAGATCAATCCCTAGTATCATACCAGAAAAAAGTATGGTGATCCTTTTATCACTCCATTTCAAAATGCATCCGTTAAAACCAGCATGTGTTGTGTGAAGAGGGTATTATTTTACTTGTTTACATGTGCAACCATCATTTAATGATTTCACTCAGAACCACAATGCATCTTTCACTTGTCTGTCCTTTACAGAAAATCACCTTCCCGAAACTCAACATTTGGTAGCATTGCCTGTCCTCGAGGCACTGCAGGAAAGAAACGTGTCCTGGGGGGCACACAGCACACAGGACCCCATTTGGCTTCACCAGCTCCGGGGAAGCCAACAAATCAAATGTGCTCGCCTGCACCCCAACGAGCCTTGCCCTCACAAAACCATACAAGCCTAACAGCAAAATAAGGGGAAAGAAGATAGATTTGAGGTCAAGTTTTTAACTGCAGGACAGCAAACAGGCCTGAGGCAAAACAAACACGCTCATATTCCTGATCTAAAATGAGTAACTGGATGCGTTTCTAGCTGCCCAGACGCACTTGCCTAGGCGCTGGTCTAAGCGGATCCACCAGACGGGATCACCGCCTCTTCTCCACACAGGCAGCCGTGTTCATCCGGCTCCATGCTCACACAGCTTAGGAGATAACCCACCAGAAGACTATTTCTTTGCTTGTAAGACATAAACAACCCTATGAAAATATGCTATCAGATATGTTTAGTAACTAGAAAACTAAGATATTTTCTCAGGAGTAGCTAATGCACAGAGTTCCCAGGCAAATACGAAAGCAAGGGACTGCCCTCTGCCTGCAAGGACTGCAGTAACTGCAAAGAGTAGGTTTCATTCCACATTTTAAGACATTAATCCCCTTGTGTATACTATGTTAAACATATATCTGTCTCCTCCGTGTTTTTTTTCAGATACCTAAATATTTAAATATTACTTCCCAGATCAGTAAACCTTGCATTTCTGCATTGAATAAAGTCCTCCTTGTGCTGACATAGTATAAGTACTCTACATTTCACCCATCGAAAGAGACAAGCTTTTTCTTGTCTTCCTATTTTAATTGTCCTGTGAGGCTCCTGCATATACAAAGTTAATTACTCTTGTCCTCAAAACAGTTACTCGCCTGTATCCCGCCTATCGAATGAACAAATAAACAGAGGAGACCTTAATGATATTCTTAAATGTACTAACAATGTCCAAAACAAATTTTGAAAGTGTTACACAGGCACAATGGATAGAGAATAGCTCAGACATTGAATTCAGCCTTTCATTTATTTACATGCTGACAGCCACACAGAGCTTATCTGCTGATCAAAGTAATAATAAAGGAAGCTAATTGACAGATACTTCTTTATCCTCTGTTCTTTTGTTCCCATTCTAGGTTTTAAGAAACAAAGATTTCCAATGGCAAAAATTGCTTGAATACTGAGGTGGGAGAAGATGGGAACAAGCGAGAGGCACACAACAGCCTGACCCACTACAGCAGGTAACAGCAGTGCTCAGGACATCGTAAGACATTGCTTCAGTTGATTTACACAGTGATGACATTCATTCCACTTCACCATTTTTGAAACAGATCTATCTTTTGCCTACTCATTTTAAGGAAGATAGCAGAAATAGAGATTTTCTAAATGTTTTCATTACTCATGGTAACATTTAGGTAGAGACATTACAGTTGGCAAAATGACTGGATGCTGCAGAGTAATCCTTCTGCCACCATGACTTTCTTACTGATATATGCCAATTTTATGTTAAGTTTCAGTATCAAATTCAGTAGTTATTTGCTTTCGCCCTCAACTCCCCTAGAGTTATCACAGTTTAGAAAATCAGCATTTGGAAATACATAGCTGCTGCACCGCCTGGCTGGCACTTCAAATCCTCTAACATTCTTAATCAGAAGCTCACACTGAAACCTTTTAATTGTACCACCTGGCCCTTTGAGTTACTAAAGCACAAGTGAAATATCACCAGCAGGATCTGAGTTTAGTTATATATATACACCAACTTCATACAAATAACCTTCATAATCATATATATCTTTTTAAAGATCTAAGTTCAGTTCTGAAGAAGCCTTCCTTATCCTGTTTTAAATTACATTGCCTAGTTCAATGCTAATGTAGGCGCATTTCTTCACTCACTTTGTTTTTTCAAGTCTGCCCATTACAACGTCTGGTCAGTAAGTAAACACCCAGCATTGGACAAGAATCCTCCAAGGAAGTCCTCAACGAGCAGAGTGGTATTTTATAACAAGGTTTCTAAGTTTTATGCCCACCGACCCACACCAACCAAACAGCAAAAACACCGCTCTCATGAAGCAACTCAGCTTTAAAGGTAAATTCTCCCAGTTTAAACAAATGTCCACCAGCTATTTCTGAACGTAGTCCCAACAAGTTTTTGCTACCGCTATCAATTTAAAGCAGGAGCCCCACGAGTGGCAAGCGCGCAGTTCGGCACTTGTGCCTGGCTGCAAGCTGGAAAGGATTTGCTTTGTACAACTGTTTGAAACAGTACTTCTTCCTCCAGGAGTCTCTTGCTTTTCTTTTTTTTTTTTCCTTCAGTTGCTGGCACCTCCACACCTTAGGTAAGACCAGAGGATTACTTTTTCTTCTCTTTATGCCTAACACTAACATAAAACATTGAAGTAAGTAACGGTAACAACTTCGCTCCGAGCTGAGGGCACACACACAAACACAAGCTGCCATGGAGGTACGAGGTACAACAGAGCAGCTAATCCACAGCACCCTTTCTTAGCCTACAACAAACGCACAGCAAATCAGGGAAGTAAAACTAACCCATAGGGTCTCACCCGCCACACGCTAACTGCACGTACACGAAGTGTTACCGGCCTGCAGCAGAACATGCTTATTTGTTCAAATATTTAGCCCCCAAAAGTGAAGTTTCTTACCTGTCCTCTGTCCAACCTGTCAGCACGCTGACAAAACATTCAA